GACGAATCAAAGTCTGCACCTCCTGTAGAGTTCATGTGAGGTAATTTCACTCATCCGTCAGCAGCCTGACTTAATGCCTCATCACGACCGCTTTATTAACCACCGATCATCTTCTGGCTCCTCATCAGTGTTGACCTAGAGTAAAAACAATAAAGACTTTGCACCCAAGTACATGCACTTCTTTGGAATTGTGCACATATGCATAACACCAAGTCATCTGAATGACTCATGCATAACCTGTACATGGCATTTGTAGAATGAATGACTCATGCATAACCTGTACATGGCATTTGTAGAATGAATGACTCATGCAACGTGTTGTTCTGTAAACAATCCCCGTCCTCAGGTCGGGATCAAGTTGCAGTTTGCTAAATTCCCACCATGAATGTCAGTTTCTGTGTCTTAGATCACAAACGTGTCCGTTCAGATACACAACGGCTCCGCCACATTCCAGACAGATCCTATCGGAAAGGTAATATCTGCTCTTTTTGAGTTGCACTGTGGATGGCACAAGAGAGGAAGGTGGAGGAAGGCAGAGGGTTGCAGAGGCGGGCAGAGCAGCAGCTTTGTGTCCCACCATCAGCTGCCGGGTCTGCTGTTGTTTTGCAGAGGGCCTTTGGGAAGTCCTTGCCCTCAGAGGTCAGCTCACAACGCCTCCCAGTTCCTGCTTTGACAGACAACCGGCATTCATGCAGGCATTTTCCTTGTTCTGTTTCATCTGAGGGCTTTTGAGCTTCAAAACTAGGATGGAAATAATTAGTGTTTGTTATCAAGTGATAGGTTGACCTTTTATTTTAATCTGTAAACGGTATAAATGTGTAATATTTGCTGTAATAGTTTGCAGAATGACCTCAGTTTGGAAAAATAGTTTGCATCGAGCAAGACTGGCGTGCTAACAGCTAGTCAGAACTAACTTAGACCACAATGTGTTGCTGTGGTCTTGAAAACAGCTCCAATATAAAAACATCAAATATGGCTCATTTAAAATGATCTCATTGGTTGAAAATAGGTGAAAATCTACAGAAATTTCCATTTTGTCTTGTATTTTGAGCAAAACGGTGTTGATACGCATCTTTTTTAAGCAGATTATCCCGTTACTGTTGCAGATAAACTAAGCTCTGTTTAGCTTTATGTATAAAAGTCATTGTTTTCCCACATTTGTTTCTCTTGTCTTTTTTTGTCGCATCTTTCCTCCATATTTATTTGTCTTTGCAACAGTCTGATTGTGGCCCTCTTTCAACCTTGTGTCACCATATCCTGCCCCATGTCAGCAACTCTTTGAGCTTGGCCCCTGTGTGCTTTCGGTCCAAAACATCATTCTTTCATCAATGACATTAGCCAGACTTCCTTTGGATGGTACCGTCAGGAAGTGCAGCAACAGAAGTCCCATGACAAGCAAAGAAATCAAATTGGTCAGCTAGTATGTGAATGCATTTGTTTATCGTGCCTTTATCAGCTGAGCTTAAAATAGTGCAGCCCTGAAGGAAATTAGATCCCTAAGCCCTTTTTTCTCCTTGCTCATGATTTGGACCAGCAGTGAGATTGTTTTGTTTATTTGCTGAACTCTCAGAAAGTTACATCAGAGCAGCTTTCATAGGATGGAGATAATAAAAACTACACAGACAACACGTGAGGGATCGTTCTTTGTGCAGTCAGCATATTATGAAAAAGAGTACGACATTCAAACATAACTGGAGTCATTGGTACATTAGGAGCATAACTGAAAATCTTGGGTTTTAAAAGTGGTTTAACATCTTTTCCCGTTATTTATTTTTTTTATTTATGATTTTAAAATAATGGGAAAATTGTTTGCTATCGTCCGCATATCTGGGGTTGGGTCAAGGGGGCAGCAGCCTAAGCAGAGAGGCCCAGACTTCCCTCACCCCAGCCACTTGGGCCAGCTCCCAAGGTGTTCTCTGGCCAGGTGAGAGACAGTCCCTCCAGCATGTCCTGGGTTGTCCTTTAGGCCTTCACCCGGTTGGACCTGCCAGAAAAACCTCACCAGGAAAGTATCCAGAAGGCATCCCAACCAGATGCCCGAGCCACCTCAACTGAGACCTCTCGATGTGGAGGAGCAGTGGGTCTACTCCGAGCCCCTCCCGGATGACCGAGCTTCTCACCTTATCTCTAAGGGAGAGCCCAGCCACCCTGAGGAGAAAACTCATTCCAGCCGCTTGTACCCGCAATCTCATTCTTTCAGTCTCTACCCAAAGCTTGTCACCATAGGTGAGGGTAGGAATGTAGATCCAGGGCCAGATTAACACTTTGTTGTACCCTGGGCAGCAATATTAAAGGGCCCCATCATCACGACCCAAGGATCACTATAATATGGTCACATACAGAATATTTTACTGAAATATGCAGTAAATATACTCAATACTTGAATGCCTGACATCACGTAACCCGCTCAGGGTAACCTTTGACCCACCTCGTGTGGACTGACCAATAAGGAGGGGGTCTTAACTTGAGGCCCTCTCTTCATTGGTCATTCAGGGTTCATGGGGGGGGTCATTTTGCCTTGGCCCCCAAAATGCCTTGAAACGGCCCTGGGTGTGTGACTGAGTTTTGAAGGTGATCTGAATTCTATCAGATGTATAAATATGACATGTGTAGAACTTATTGTTTTATACAGGTAAAAACGTGTAGTGGAGATAAATCTACCTACATTTTACTTTTCAACACTTTGTTTTGTTTTCTTGTTTTTATTTAACTATTTTCCTGTCCTGTCTGTCTCCCTTCTTCCTGCATCTCCTTTAAACTCTCCAGAAAAACTGCTGCCTGGATTCTTACTTTTTCACCTCATCAGTTACTTTTGAGCAGATCAAAGGGATCTCCTGACCGCAAAGAGGAGAGCACGTTTCGATGCTGCGTCAGTGAGGTGAAATCACCGCAGCACAGGTGATGAGCTCCGCAGTGGCAGAGCGCTTCAGGCACAAATAAGACAGAAAGTAGAGAACGTGCAGACATGAACG